CACCCAGACACTGACCCCCCTTTAGCTCCCCCCACCCATTCAGGGGTGGGACCAGATGGCCCACCACTCACAGCCCCTCCCCACAGCTGGTCCCACCCCCAATCACCCCCTTTACCCTATCCAGGGGCGGGGCCCACTAGCTAATTGCCTGCGACCCCTACCCCCAGCCAGCCTGGCCCTGATCGGCCCCCAATCAGTGCGGGCTGGCCGACCTCCCGCTATCTCCTCCTCCTGATAGGCCGGGCCCTGATCCACCTCCATTAGGGCTGGGCTGGCTGGACCCCACTTGTGCACAAATTTGTGCACTGGTCCTCTAGTACTCATATAAATGAACTCATTTGGTTAATTGCCTTTTCATGTGTACATCATTTCAATGACTTGGACAATTATTTTTCAATGGTGAAAAAAAATCCAAGTCTAGATCAGTAAGGATTGTTGAGAAATCATGCTGCCCAGCTGTGTGGCTCCATAGCTGAGCATCTTGAACATCAGCCTATGAACCAGGAGGTCATGGTTAGATTCCCAGTCAGGACACATGCCCAAAGTGTGGGCTTGGTTCCCAGTGGGAGCTTGCAGGAGGCAGCCGGTCAATGATTCTATCTCATCATTGATGTTTCTCTCTCCCTCTCTCTCAAATCAATAAAAACATATTTAAAAAATCATGGCAAGATGGGAATTAACCCATGATCAAAAATAGACCATCAACAGCATTTAAAAATTATCATTACAGTTCTAAAATAAAAAATGTCTAGGATAAGATGGAAAATTAGTATTTCTATAAGCCATATTGATGATTTGAGAATACAAAACATTTGATGCTGTCACCTGATATTTTTGCTCCCCTTTCTTAATTCTACCTATTGATTTATTCAAAGTCTTCTCCCTTGGTTTATAAACAGTTAGTCTCTTTCCTTCATGGCATTGCATGATCCAAGTCTGACAAAAGCTGAACTCACCCAATCAATATCAAGATTTTGAACAGATTAAAAACACATACCATCCATATGCAGGCTCATCTTGTTATTAAATTTTTTTATGGGGTTGAAATTGATGAGATGCAAGAAACCTTCTATTGTTGTTATTTTTTTCTTCCACAGTAAAAGTAAGATTTTAAACATTAAGTAACTGCAACAAGATAGAAAAGCTAAGAGTATTTGTTGAGAGTATTTTCAAGATGAAGACCAAAGGACCAGAGAGGTAGCTGCTGTTCCTTCGCGCCCCTCCTCGTGCTCTATGGCCCTCCCCAGGCCTGCTATCATTCCTCCCCAGAAATCATGTAGACCTTTTCAGTCCACCCAACTTACCATGCTTTCTCCAAGGCCCTCAATGATGTACCTGCCTCCTGTCTTCACAAGTACCCGGCCAAATCCAAATACTTCCCGTCACCCTAAAAGTTCCTTATTTCTCTTTTTGTACCTACAAGCTGTTGTAACTTTTCCCTGGGTTTCATTTCTTCCAGAACTCCATGAACTACTTTTAGCAAAGGAAAATATAAAGGCTTTTTAGTTCTACAAAATTAAATTAAAAAGTTGCCATTCATTTGTCTTAGCTTAAATCTGTGGGTCGAGACCCCTTTGGCAGTTGAACGACCCTTTCACAGGGGTCGCCTAAGACTATCCTGCATATCAGATATTTACATTACGATTCATAACAGTAGCAACATTACAGTTATGAAGTAGCAACGAAAATAATTTTATGACTGGGTCACAACATGAGGAACTGTATTTAAAGGGCCAGAAGGTTGAGAACCACTGGCTTAGAAGATAAGCTTTGAAGGCACGGAGTTGGTGATGTTACGGGGAAGCTCTGCTGTGTACTCGTTGGAAATAATTTCATCTCTCTAGCTGAGGGCTTTGGGGTTTGGAAATTATGAATCCAACGTACTACTAGGGTCAATACTCCCAATCTAAAGAAGAAGTGAACCCTAAACTAGGTTGTCTTTGACCAAACCTAAGAGAAGAAATGGCTAATTTCACTTTCCCATATTTGTGGCCCAGCAGCCCTGGCTCTCAGAATAAATAGGTCTTATATTTTCAAGTCCAAGAGGACTTCTTAAAAGAGGCCAATGTGAACTGAGGGTAGGGATGTATATATGTGCATACAGGCCCATATTTTATTTGCATATATAAAATGTTTTAAACATGTTTTTGAGGGAAATGTTTTAAAGTCTTTCATCAGCAAAAGCCAATACCTTTTAAAAAATTCTGACATGTGTTACACATATGCACTGAGGGTTACAGCATGCGAATCACTTGTACAGGAAAGAATATTCTGAAAGAAAATCAAATAATGCATGTTTCCTTTAGATTAGGATCTGACACCAATGTACATTTATAAATCTGAAGATCATTACTACTGTATGAGCATGAATGAATCATCGCTCTGGCTAACAGTATGATTGAGGTTTGAGATGTCTTTCTTAAAAAATATATATGTATATAAATAGACTGGCTCCCTCTAGAGCTTCTGGAGTTAAGATTTCAGATTAAGTTGTTCCAAAGGTTTGAAAAGTATGAAAAGCTGGCATCTTTTCACATTTTTGTTATGAAGATTATAGTTATATTCAGTGATTCTACTTGGACGTAGTCTTTATGTGGTTTGATACACTATGATATTTTACCACAAACCTCTCCCATCACTTTACACATCTGTCTGTACCTCCCCTAGTGTATGGCACACTGCCTTAAGTGCTATCTGTCCCACTGGGTTAAAAATGTGCCCTGGGCCAAGATGACTAATCAGCTGACACCAGGGTTGGCAGTCTTTCCTGTTAATGTCTTCCTGAAGATTCTTTTGCACACGTCGATCCCAATAGCATGCTACTCACAGAACAAACATCATGTCTGCTGCAACACTGAAACCTTGGTTCTGTCATCCAGGCTCTTGAAGTACCTCAAGTGATTACAACTGAAATACACACGCTCTGGTAAATGAAGTATGAAGACTAAACTGCCCAGCAGAAAATTCAGACAAGTATGACATTCAGCTCTCACGGTTCTGCATTCACAATTCTTTCTTTCTTTTTTTCTTTTTGAAAGTAGAAACTTTCATGTAAATAGTCTTCATAAGGAGTGTGGTGGCTCGGTTCAAGACTTTGGAGTTAGATTCCCTGGATTCAAAATCCCTGCTCTGCCACATCTAGTAATAATACCTTGAGTAAATTATTTCAATATTTTCTGTGTCTCAATTTCAGCATAGGTAGGGGAGAGAAGATAAAGAGACCTAACTCATAGAGTTATTGGGAGATGAACTCAATACAAAGCAACTAGCAGGGGACCTGGCACACGGTACACATTAAAACAGGTGATCCCAGAAAAACACAGTGCAGATGACCCCATAGGTAAAATTAGGTACATTCTCCTTTCTGGAGGGCAACAGATGCATAAGTTAGAATGCATTTAATGACAAATATTTTTAAAAGTTATAGATCTATAAAGAGAAAAAATGATGAAATATTGTTTTCCCTTAGAGTATGGTTCAATAATTCTAAAACCACCTGGCCAGGGAGTAGAAAGAACTGATTATTGTATCTGTTTAAAACCCTGTAATCACAGACTAGGCTAGTAATAGCACTGTGCGCTTGGAAATAAGAACGGAACTGCTGCCCTAATGGCTCAGTGGATAAAGCGTCAGTCTGCGGACTGAAAGGTCCCAGGTTCGATTCCGGCCAAGGGCATGTACCTTGGTTACGGGCACACCCCCAGTAGATGTGCAAGAGGCAGCTGATCGATGTTTCTAACTATCCCACTCCCTTTCTCTCTGTCAAAAATCATTAAAATATATTTCAAAAAACCCCAAAACAAACAAACAAACAAACAAACAAAAAAACGGAACTGCTGAAGCCACACTGTGGTCGTCACTCTCCTACCCAGTGGAGCCTCGGCTTAGCAGTGCTGGGCTGGCAGGAAGACAGTCCCTTTACTGCTTGTTTTCTACACAGAGGGAATGTAGCTGAAAATATTTTTAAAAGATAATCACAGATATGAAGAATGTCCAGAGGAAGGCAGTATAGTGTTGTAGTTAAAAGTATGCATAGGCTTTGGAATTAAATGTCTTTATATTTTACTTTTGGTTAACCATTATAAGAATATAAAACAAGAACAAAGTTATGACCTCATCGGGCAGCTGAAGGATAAATGAGACAAGGCATGTAAGCAATCAGTACTGTCAGCGACCACTACTACCCTGGCATCCATTTCTTTTTCTTTTTCCTTTTTTATTGATTTCAGAGAGAGGAAGGGAGAGGGAGAGAGAAACATCAATGATACGAGAGAATCAAGTGGCTGCCTGCACGCCCACTACTGGGGATCCCGTCTGCAACGTAGGCATGTGTCCTGACCAGGAATTGAACTGTGACCTCCTGGTTCATGGGTCCATGCTCAACCACTGAACCACACAGGCCAGGCTTGACATTCATTTTTAATTTCTGAAATGTATGCTTCCTTTTAGATATAGTATCTATATATTCTTCAGTGACATCAACATTGGTGCTGATAGGGTAGCAGTTATGAAGTGTCCAACAACTACTACACCTACTCCTCCCTCAATTATATAAAGTGATTGTGGCTTGCTTAAGTATTTGTAAAGGAAATAATTATGCATTAAAAGGGTTACCATACATTCCAGTTAGCCCAGGACAGCTCTCGTTTATGCCCACTGACCTGGAGTAACGATTAGCAGTGTCCTCTTGCAGTGTTAAAAGTGTTCTCGTTTGGATGATAAATTATGTGGTCACTGTATGTGTAAATGTAACACAGAAGTTAAATGTTATCCTAGCGAATGGATAAATCTTATAAAGTTGCAGCGTACGCAATGTTTAGCAATTTAAGCATATAGCCCAAGTCTGTATAGTTATTGCTCTAAAATAACCATGTCCGAAAACATACAATAAATATTTCCCAAAATTGCTAAGTTTAAACTTCAGGGTAAGCCTGAACGCTGAGCTGAGCTCCTCATAGATGGAAGCAGCCTCACACCCTGGGTAGGTAAACACGGCCAGCTGGAGCCCACTGCAGCCACAGGATAGGACAACATTCTCTCTTCCTGTGCTTTGAAGCCACAGCTTCAATTCTTACAAACTTTGTCTAATTTCAGGAAGGAAAGGGCTCTCCACAGGCAAGGACCCCGAGGGATAGGGTATGTAAACTGAAACTCCTCGGGTCACATGCATTTATGAAGATACGTCTCCAGCCACCAGTTAGGGAATGGCAAGTTATGATTTATTATTACAGGCAGCTAGGAGAGAGCAGTAATAACTTCCTTTTCCTTTCCTGACTGGACCATGCTGCCACGTGCAGGCTCCTTCAACAACAAAAAAGCATGTGTACGGTAGGTTGGAAAGAAAAAAACAACAACACAAAAATAAATATTAAGTGACTGACAATCTGGGAGTTGGGAAAGAAGACCACTGCTTTACAAAAATACATGATATTAGATAAAAGGCAACAATTTGAAAAACTTAATCAAGAAAAGAGAAAATTAATTGTAAGGAAAAAGTAAAAGAGGTCACATTAAGAAAACAGTGTAAAGGTTTATCAAAGTGACTTATTTGATTAAAATGTTTTATCATGTAATATTACAAAGACTGATAAGTAGGCAAGATACTATGAAATACAGATTTGAAAATTATAATAAATATATGTATATGAAGTGGATATATTGTAAAAATATAAGGACTAAACACTGCCAGTCCAAGAAAACTAAGACAGGCTTAGCAAAGGAAATGTTTAAATGGTGGCATGGTCTTATGGAAGAATGAGAAAACTTACTAAAATTTTATAAATGTACTATTTAACAAGAAATGTTTCTGATGCAAATAAGTAGTAAGCATGTTCACAATACTCAGTTTAAAAATCACTTATGAGTCTTTATTAATAGGCAGATAGATACTAAAAATACTTTGGCATGTACATAGGCAGAATTCGTCAACCATTGAATGGTTTAAAACTTGTGGCAAAATATTTCATTAGGTTTGACAGGGGCAGGCATATACATTCAGCTGGGAGAGTGTTAATGTCCTTAAATTTTAAAGTGTACCATTTTCTTGTGGTATGGGAAAAAGAAAGGTAAAGGGATAAGATTTCCTGACACAAAGATATATAGTAGATAAACAGAGTATAGGAGATTATGTTATTTAACAAATTTCTCTTGAAAGCATTTACATTAGGTGTGAGGTAATGGGTATGTTGACTGGCTTGACTGTGGTGAATATTTCACAATATATACTGATATCAGGGTCATTTAGTAATACAACTTAAACATCTACAGTTTAAAAAAAAATCCTCACCCAAGGATATATGTTTTTTTAAAATTGATTTTGGAGAGAGGGAAAGGGAGGGAGAGAGAGGAGTGAGAGAAAGGTGAGAGAGAAACATCAGTTGGTTACCTCCCTATGCACGAACCAGGGATCAAACCCACAACCTAGGTATGTGCCTTGACTGGGAATCAAACCTGCAACCTTTTAGTATATGGGACGATGCTCCAACCAACTGAGCCACCTGGCCAGGGCTACAGAATTTTTCTTTTTTCTTTTTGGTTAATCCTCACCTACAGATATTTTTCCATTGATTTTTTTAGAGAGAGTGAAGAGAGATGAAGAGATACAGAAACATGACAAACATTGACGTGAGAGAGACACATTGATTGGTTGCCTCCTGCACATGTCCTGAGGCCAGGGATTGAGCCTGCAACCAAGGTATGTGCCCTTGACCAGAATCGAACTCAGGACCCTTCAGTCTGCAGGCTATCCACTGAGCCAAACTGCCCAGGGCCACAATATATGATCGTCCATGACACCTTACTAAAGCTGAAAAAAAACAAAAAACCCCAAAACAAATAACTCTTTACATTGAATTTCCTCATAGAAGTTTGGTGTATTTAAAATTTTACTGAAGTTTAAAAAGTAACTCCGAATTTTTTATTAAAATATATGGAAAATGATATAGGTAATTGGAACCTGGCATAGAGAAAACAGTATTCTAATATCTCAAGTATTCTAGGTAATACATTATTACTATACTAGAGGCCGAGCGCATGAAAATTCATGAACTGGAGCGGGGGGTCCCTCAACCCGGTCTGCCCCCTCTCATAGTCCGGGAGTCCTTAGGGGTGGGAGGCGACTTGGCCATCAGGGGAAGGCGATGCCCCCATCACATCTCTGCTGCTGCCACTGCCAGCAGTGCAAGTCTCAGCTGGCCCTGGCTACCTGAGCCTCAGCTGGCCTGGGCAGATGGGGGGCTGAGAGGGCTGGGGGACACGGGAGGCAGGCACCCCAGTGGGGCTGAGGGGACTGGGCACCGCCATCTTTGAGGACGTGGCAGTAATTAGCATATTCCCTCCTATTGGCTGTGGGTGCCGCCATCTTTGTGATGGTGTGAGGGTCAATTAGCATATTCCCTCATTATTAGATAGGAAAGTTGAGGAAGATGTGATTTGTGACCCTGTAGGTTAGAAGGCAGGTTCAGATAAGTTCTATAGGAACTCTTAACATTCTGAGTATTTATATATAATCTCATTAGATAGAATTTCTTTTTAAGTATACTGGTAATTCAGGGAATATGTAGCTGTTTTATAGATGAGGAAATTAATGCTTAGAGAAAGTAAGTGACGTGCCCATATGGTGTCACAGCTAGATCTTTTAACTCCAAATCCTGTGTCATTACACCATGACTACCTGTATATATCACCCTGCACTTCTGTCCTGATAATGATTATATTGGTAATGATTTGCTCACTGTCTTTCTTTCCCACTGAACTGTAGGCTCCAAGAGGACAGGACCATCTTTGCCAGGAAATACCACAGCCCCATTCCTTGCACATATATTGGCAGAGAATAGATGCTCAAAAATTATTTTTGGAATTAAGGTGCTATTTACAGAAATTGAATCAATGAGGGAATGTGATGGTTAGGAAGTTAGAGCAATGTCTGGTTTGGCGTATTTAGAAGTAGACCACAGGTAAGTAGGGTTCTCCAGGAAACAGACCCTGAGATAGAATTTTGCATGCAGGGTATTTACAAAGGAGTGTCCTCAGGATCAACATCTGAGGAAAGGAGGGGGACAAAGCAGAAGTGGGCAGAGGGATTTCAAGGTGAGATGCAGCTCCAGTGACCAAACCCCAGGGGAAACACGACAAACAATCATGTGAGAGAGACACATCGATTGGTTGCCTCCTGCACATGCCCTGACCAGGGCCAGGGATTGAGCCTGAAACCAAGGTATGTGCCCTTGACCAAAATTGAACTCAGGACCCTTCTGCAATCGTTAAACTCTGGACATAGAATGATCCTTCAGAGTCATTCCAAGATGGCTTGGTTTTTAATCTCCCACACTGCTCTTTGGATGCAGGCCCCCACGGCAGCCAAAGCAATCCCTGAAGGGGCCTACAGCTGAAAGCTGTCTGCTTAAAGCACTCCCAAGAGCTGGGGTAGCAAGTCCTCTACTGAAGGAACAACTGACTGTGTGTCACAACTTCTACCCCACGTCATACTGTCCATTCAAATCTAAGTCATTCTTCCAATCTGCCCAGCAATCTTTGTCATGTTGGTGCATTTAAGACTACATTATGATTTAATGCACTAGTATCTATGAGATCAAGTAAGTCTCAGATTTTAGATCCCACAATCTAGTCCATATTACCTATCCTATCAAATTTTGTGTTTTCCCCCAACGAAGGGCCATAAAGGGAAAAACAGAAAGGTAAAAGATGAAGAAGCATTGACTATTGAAAAGCATAAAGAAAATCAGTTACTAATTTCAAAAATTATCCTATAAGTCCATTGGGAAATGATTTTATTTTCTGAATTTCAAATGAAGTATATATGTCAGATAATGCAAGGTATACTTGTGATTTCAAACCTAAATGCTCCAGGGTACAAAATAATCCCAACCTTCAAAGAGCACATGCAGTCATTACTACCAGGGTCTGCAGTGATGAACTCCAACCTGGTAGTGTTGCTGGGGAAAGGAAGGGTGGACACAGACAGGCTTCCCTGTGAAGTAGCTGGGTCAGCTTTTCAAATCCCGGCCTTTAATCACTGGAACATAGAGAAAGTAAAGACTGTGCTATAGAAAATCTGACACAGAAGACATGAGATTTTGATTCTTTTTCAGATCTTAGTTACTCTGTGCCCTCAGATATTTCTGAGTTTTTGTCTCTAGAAATTCAGAATAAACTTCATTTCATCATGTTTCTTCAATGTAGGCTCAGGTTTATGCAGAAATCGTGGTACTGATCTAATTTGTATATATTGGAGGGTTTGCCTTAGCTTTTAGATTCTAGTATAGGCACTCACCCACTGACATAGTAGAGCAAGATCACCTAGATGCTGACATCCATTTTTAAATGGGAAAGTGACATCATGGTAATAAGTATTAGTCACAGGCTTCCCACATTGCTTCAAAATATTTGAATAAGTATCGCCAGGTGGCTCTTCTACCAAGGAACTTATGGAATACCTGCAGCTTGTGTACCTGCTTAAACATTCAGGTGAATACTGTTACTGGAAGAAATTTATATTCAACTCACTACCTATATGGGCTATTTAAATGCACACTCTACTGACCAAATATAGAACAATCCTTGTAAGCTGGAATTTTAAAATATGATTCTGATTATGTTGTCATGTTTCTTATGAAAGCACATCTCATTTCTAAAATGATAACAAAAGACAATGGGAGGAAGTGATTTG